CCCCCTCCCACCCTTTTCCACCGCCCTCTTTTGTCCGATCCTAACTCAATGTGCTTGCATCGTCGTCCCCAGGCTGCCACGAGACCAACACCTCGCCACACCAAATTGCCTGCCCGGTCTCCGTGATGTTAAAATGGTCTTCAGGCGACAGAGCTGAGAGCTGATCGCCGCTGTGCGAAGCCAACCAACCCCACCCCTACCACACCAGCTCCGCGAGTTGGCTTTTCTCCTAAGCTATTATCTCCAGACTCCAAGGACGCTCTGATATACATGAATCGAACACCCTTAAGGGCAGAGTTTTAGAATCAGTATCGAGGATGTCGAAATAATTATTATTACCAATGTGTAGGCGTCTGGAGTCCAGCAAAATAAACGGATTAAAAGTCATTAGACTCATTAGAACAGGACGAAACTGGAAGAAAACCCCAGGTTTCTGTCATTAGCCTGTTTTGATTCTCACCGCATTGTCTTGAGCCTCGTTCAAGAAATAAAAACGACAGTCTACTATAACTGTCAAGGCATTAGCGTGTACTCTTTGAGCAATCAAGTGTCATTTTCTTCAAGCGTATTACATTACGTGTAACCACGGGATATTCTTCATTGAGTTTTTCTTTGAGAACTGAACGTTTCTGTGTTTCCAATGTCTTCACCTCAAAGACATCCGGTATCAACTTACAATGAAAGAACCATGAGTTATAAAGCATAGCTGTAGTATAGACTATTGCTTTGAGACCACACTAATGAATTACAAGCAGACGTCACAGTTTGGTGCACACTGAGACGTAACCTATTTTTTAGCATTTAAAGTGTTCATTTATTTTGTTAAGTAGAACTTTTTTTTTCACTTGTAGTTTAGGAATGGATTCATAACATTTGCTCTTTTTTTCTTTTGTGTTTTTTCCCTTATAAACGCAGACCAAGCTGCTACTGGTAGTCTCTTTATGGTAAGCTAATTATGCAATCAAGGGTTCGAAACATTTTCAAAGGCACTGGTTTCTTATACGCCTTCTTATTTGCTTTGCTTTAATTAAAGGATACTTCAAATTCCAATCGTCCTGCAAGGAAAAGCTGTTGAAATAAAGTGAGAAAAAATAACGGGAAAATCCCGTTGTTAACTGATCCACTTAAAAACAAGATCAGGTTAACCAAAATAAACAAACAGGCAACAGTGGAACTGGTGTTTTCAAGGTAACTTCCGTCGGCTTTCGTAGCGAGAATTACAAGAATTGAATTTCCAAACAACAGCGACTAGAGACAGTTTCACCGAGAGGTCTTTTCTGCTCCAAGATGGCCTCGCCAAACGTGACAGCCTCGCTATCGGAGCATCTAATGACATACGCGGCAGAGATGTTTCCCGTACTAAACAGCGAGGTGAACTTCACCCCCGAGGACTTGGGACTCCCAAGTGGACTCCCCCACGAAGATGATGGGGACTACAACATGAACGCCTTCTTCTACAAGGGCGACATTGAGCAGTTGCGGAAACCCTGGGTACGGGAACCTCACTTCATACCTTTGGTGCTGGTCTACAGTATTGTCTTTATTACAGGTTAGTACATGTAGTGGTTGTTGTCTGTTTGAGGGGTTGGGCTCGTCTCTCCCTCCTTCTCTCTATTTTTGTCTGTCTCTGTCTCTCTCTGTCTCTCTCTGTCTCTGTCTCTGTCTCTGTCTCTCTCTCTCTCT